TGATTCTATGATTCTATGTCTGTAGCGACATTTGAAGATCAGCATTCATCAGACCCTTTTGCTTTCAATTACTACAAGAGAACTTTTACAGTTCTCTTCAGCTGCCAGAACAGAAACCACCAGAAGAAACGTCTCTGGGGTCTTTAATAGTATCTGATTCATCTTAAGTAGACAGGTTTTGGAAAGAAGAACTTGGGTATCTGGAGCGGCCCAGGGAAGTAGCCTTTCCAGGGAGGATCCTACAGAGGAGTTTGTTACAGAAGCCAAAACCTTGTAGTGTAGTTTTCTGCATTTTTTATGCACATAAACAGAAGATCACCTATTCTTGTCCCTGGGACTCCTTCCTCCCCAGGTGAGGAGGAGAGGAGAAAAGAGCTGAGTCTTCTGGGAACAGGCTCTTCTAACACACCTACATCACTATACCTTCAAAAGTAACTAAGCTATCTAATCAAATGCTACTGCAGCTTGGCACGCCACGTAAAAGAGTCTGTATTTACGCTGGGCTGATGAGTCAGATGAACAAACACTGCTCTGCCTGGTATCAGGAGCAAAGATACCGAGAGTGCAGCTGAATACTGTTGCACTACACTCTTCTCCTGCCCTTTGAGGAGCACCAGTCCTCGTTGAAGCTCTTCCTATTAGTCATCGTGCCTCTCACGGTGCCACAAGATACCGTTCTGAACTGCAGGTACTCTGGTGAGGGAAAAGCTACAGGGAGGACGACTGGGGCTTAAGCCTGCTTACAGGAAGAGAGATGTGAGGTAAATGGCAGGAATGAGAGGAGTAGCACTTGAGCGTATTCAGGAATCGGGTCGTGTACAGTTCCAGGTGAGTTCAACTGACACTTCGGGCTGAGGAGGTTGTGTGCGCTGTGCAGAGCACAAGGGGGAAGTTCATTGTTTCTTCCACGTGGAGCTACACAGCTCAATAAATATAATTTTTAATGACACAGAAATTAGACAACGATTTAGCATTTTTTTACCTTCAGCTACCACTGCAAGACGAGAATTTTACATGTACAACTGATACTAGATTTAACATCCACTGCTGAGAAATCTGGAAAATAAGGCTGTATTTACCTTGACTCACTACACATTCTCCCCTCCTTTTTGAAGGTACCTACAAGAATCACTTTGATCAGGAGGGACAGAGGGCTCTACATTACCATATTGTAACCCATGGAGATAAGGCAGGCTCGGAAATCTTCACAATCCATCATACCAGTCTTCTTCTACAGGGAATGATGCAAAGATGGAAAAAGCCAAGAGAGGGAGACCAGTCCAGGGAGACGTGAACCCACAGGAGACATGACGAAGAATGGGTTTCAGGGTGGAGGAGATGGAAGGGAGGATTTACAGGACAATGAAAACCAACAGAGCCAAGGTAGTTTGGGAAACCATGAAGAAACGAAGGTGGTTTTGGACATGAAATAGTTTACAGACAAGGAACATATTGAAGACGAAGAAAAGGAATGAAGATATCAAGCAAGACAGATGGAGGGATGGACAAGAAAAGGAGTGTTCAGACACAGAAGTAAATGGAATGGTTTGAAGATATAAAAGGAATCCTCCCAAAGCAAACAATTAGGGAATTAAGAAAGAATAGATGCCAAAGTACATTTAGAGAGGAAGTAGTACAGAAAAGTGACGTATGTACGGTCAAACACACAAACAGCAATGACAGATGGATTCAGACAAACAAGAAAAGAGAGGAAAAAACCGTTATTTTTCACAGTTTAACATCTGGCTATGTTCACCACTAGCATTCAGTACCTGTGCATCGTTTCCAATATCGTAACCCAAGCTGATGAGACAGGCTTTGAATTCCTCAGGGCCAAGTGTGCCGGAGTGGTCCTGGTTATGCGGTGTGCCAGGCAGCAGGACATGCAGTGCCAGTGGGGTGACGGTGTGGGGCAGAAGGAAGGGAGACACAGAGGAGGTCAAGGGGAGGTGGAAGGACAACAAACAGGTGCACCATGCAAGTGGGTGAGGAGAGAGGGGGAGGAAGAGTGACATGCAGATAGGAAGACAGGGAAGAAAAATAAAAAGTGCACAACGTTAGATATCACCATGACATTTCAGGATGTGCTAAAAATGCTCTTGGAACAGCTCCTTCTCAGAGAGCTCGTCACATCTTGGGAGCATTTGAATGACAAAACCAGTTGATGCTTAGAAGCCTCTAGATCTCCATCTCCCAAGTGAATTACTTGTGTCACTGCTCGTTATCCATAGCGCCAGAAGCCCTGTGTGTCACTAGTAACCCGGAGTGCAGGTAAGCAGGCAGAGGCAGTGGGAAGCATCGCCTTAACCTTCTAGTCAAAAGTTCCATCAAAGGAGTAGGTGAGGGCAGGTATGTTTGGCAACAAACCCAAGGAAGCTTAGCTGTCAGGGCATCCCAGGAACAGACAAGGAAAACCAGCTGAAGCTCAGGGAGCGGTGTTACGGCTGTACGTACCAGACCTGCACATGAGGTGGAGCTTTGACCGGCAAAGCTACTTCAAGTGCTCAGGCCTGCAAACAGCAGTGCTGTACAGCGCAGCACAGCACGGCTTGGCAGCTGCTCTTCCTTTGCTCCTTCCCCGCTCCCCCCGTGTGTGGATGTACCCATCCAACTATACACAAGCTACCACAGGATCTGAGAATCCCCATCCATGCTGCAGAATTTTGGCTCAGGACAGCCCCCAAGCCCTGAAGACCCGCTGCCTGCCACCACCATCTCTGGCCAGATGAAGGAAGCTACAGACAGGGCGGTGGGGCCAATTCCAAGTGACTTGCCTCCAAAAATCAGCTTTTAAAGTCAGCGTTAAGCCTTCGCAAATCAAACACACGGCTGAAGATGGGAAACCCACATTCTCTCCACATTATCATTCAGACTGTTGTGCAGGAAGGGGCCAACGATATGAAGGTCAAAATACAAAACCTACGGGGCTTTTATGGGTCCCTCTGCTATGAAAAGAAGCCACAGTTTTTTCTTAGGCAGCCAGAGAAGGGTTGAAAGAGAAGTCGGAAAGTGTTGCCAATCCCTGAGGGCAGGCTGCAGCCCTGTTCCCTGGAGACCTTTCCAACGGCCTGGCTGGTGCAGCAAGCGGTGGAGAGCAAACGCGTCACTGACGCAGTATCTCCACAGGCTGCCCATGGATTTCCAGACAACATTGAAGGGGGTGATAATGGAGCTGGTTTCAGGCTTGGGCTGCTGTCCCTGCTTCCCTGCATGACACCTTTGTGTTCTGGGTTGTAGAAGGAAGAGCTGCAGACAGGCTGGCAAATTGAGGGGAGGAGAATTTCCTTTAAGGAATTCATTTCTTGTTTCACCCGTTAGTGCCTTGGCATGTATTTCCACAGTAAGGCAGGGCAGGCTTTACATCGGGGTTTATCTATGTCATGCTATGCCATGGTGTGTACAGGCCCTCCTGTTCGCTCCATAAAGAGCAATACTGGTTCATGTAATGGTATGTCAGAGTGGAGGACAGCTGCCCCAGAGAATTTCATAAATCAAGATAATAATCTGCTCTCTGGAGAAGAGGGGGTAAAAGTCTCATTTCCTAAATAAGCCTTCAAACTTTTCCACACCTTAGCTTAGCAGTTTCCTGTGAAGATACACTACTCTCAGCCTAACGATCACTTCACAGTCTTTCACAGGACCGACTGCTCCACAGGAGTGGTGTTTTTAAGAACGAAGCATCTGCTATCGATCTAGTTTTATCCCAGTGACTGTTTCTGATTGCACTGTGCAGCCTACATGGAAGCTCGTAGCTTACCAAGCTGCAGTCAGCGCCGACTTACCCTGTCAAAATGGTTGAAAGAAGCCCGGAACTCGTTCATCTGTTCCTGGCTGATTCCTTTGGCATCACGGGTCAGAATCTGGTTTTCCACTTCATTGATGGTTCTAGCAATTGTTGTTAGTAACTGCTCCCAGCCCACTCGGATATGCTGGAAAAAGAAGACAGGACAATTTTAAAATTTAAAAGCAGCTCTTCTGTCTCCGAGGCCAGTGGACTGAATGTGCCACTTGTTGCAAACTGAACAATCCTGGTGGCCAAGGCAGAAGTAGTCCATTTGCTCAGAAAAGGTTCCTTCTCACCTGCAGTGTGAGCCAACCAGATGTTTAAAATATGAATTTTGACTGAAAAAAATATCGAAGAAGCCAATTTCTGATCTTAAGAAAGTCTTGATCCTATTGCAAAGTTCCTTTGCCTTGTCAGAGCAACATACTGGGGGCCTTTAACACAGATGAGATTCAAACCCAGTGCTTCTAGGATTTAGTTGGACAGAAAACTCTCCTTACCAAGAAAATAAACAAACTACAGCCCTTGGAAGACAACGGTGCTCCACTGCCTCTGCTGTTACTTAATGGAGAGCTGGCCAGAAACCAAAAGACAAGTTTCAAAGCCCTTCTGTGTTCTGCCGGACTCACGTTGAACTCAGACTGCTTCCAAGAAACCTCACGTTGTCAAAAGAAAGCCAGACTCCAATTTTAAAAAGCTTTTGTTGGACTTTTTTCTTCTGCCAGGCTGTGGCAGCTCAAAATCACCAGCACTCCCCAGGTCTTTCTAATCCCAGCTAATAGGCTGCCACAATTGGGTAGCAGGAGAAACGAGAACAGCCAATTTTTCAGGCAATACTCTTGATCTCATTAAGGTTGCTTCTACTCCCTATATTTGGAAGTACATAGGAAGGGGTTGGCATGAAGTACAGCAAGGCAAAAAGAAAATACTTCAGCGACATGCTGTTGCACGCTTGGCCGCATTACTCAGCTCCCCATTTTCCTGAGAACCACAACGTGCTGCCACAGCCAGATGTGGCTGATGCTAACTGGCCACAGCAGATGAGGCCGTCTCATCTGCTGCCAAAACTTTTTACCTCCATGGTGTAGTTGGTGTGCTTGTTGTCAAAGATAAGCGCTTCCTGGATCTGTTGGTGGTCTCCTTCCAGCTGGTCAATCTTTGGTTTGTAGTTCACGATGCTTTTCTCGTACTGCCGCAAGTGGTTGAGCTGGTCTTCCAGGGTCCCATGCATCTCTATCGAAATGCGCCCAATCTCCTGCATTAGCAAAGCCAGAGGAGTTAGACCCCATCGGAAGAACAAGCCTCAACATGCTTGACATTTATTGCAGCTATTTCACGCTCACGCAGGGTGATGAGTCAAAAAAAAAAAAAAACCATCTCGTGGAACAGTTACTTTAAATGAGCCGAGACAGTGTCAGCAAAAATTTTAGCAGAGCCCTGAACGTTTTCCAAGTGAGGTGAGTCACATGAGATGTGTCTAATACAAGGATACAAAACCCAAAGGAAACTGCAGTCGATAAGCTAGTAATGTACCAAGCCAGATCTTTTTCTGATGTACTGTCTGTCACTTAGTCCCTTCATGCACACACATTTCTGTAACTGCTGTCTTCTTTACAGCTCCTGCCATCAGTAACAGCTTAATATTCTTCCATTTCATCAACTCCAACTCCTTTAACTCGACTATTACCTAAAGAGACAAGATCTCCCTTAAAAATGTCTCCTCTACTGATGTTTGATATGCTAATTACACTTACTTTGCGGGAATTTGTATTATGGTATGTGTGTCAAGACCGTTGCTGTGAAAGCAGTTACCCAAGATACGCTTCGGATATAGGGTCTTTACCTTGCTGCATGTAAACACAACTCTTAAAATACCAGTGTTCCCCATTTTAAGTCATGACTTTTATCTCTGTACTAAGGTGTTAGGGGAAGAAAAGCACAAACACTTCAGTAACTAATATCAACATTGAGATTCTCCGTATTTTCTGTGGGTGTTTCTCTTGCCGGAAGGAAGAACAACCGCGACAGTGATCAAGAAAAACCAAGGATATCGGTGAAGATCACAGAGGAAAACACGTATGAAAATGAGCAAAGCACTACCTCCATCTTGGTCTGGATCCAGGGTCCAATGACATTGGCCTGTGCACCAAACTGTTTACGGAGTCGCTCGTTTTGCTGCTGGCGAGCATGTTCTTCCATCAGGGCTTGATCCCTTCTGGGAACCAGCTGCCGCACCTACAGCAAGGAGTAACAAAGCGGGCAATTGATACAGCTGGAGGCAGATGTGTAGTAAATATAGAGATTGCCACAAGGAAGGGAGGAGTGGGTGTTTGCCCTGAAAACAAGCAGTCATACGGTTTAGGACACAGTGGGAAGGCTCACGGAATGTGAATCTTATCTGCTGTAGGATGCACGTTGCAAACTCGTCTCAGGCCATGGAGGACCAGAAAATGCTTCCGTTCGCTACTTGGGTTTTGGTGGCTCATGTTAACTGAGTTGCAGGACCGTGTTCAGATCTCACTTTGGTGGTCTCGTTTGGGAGGGAGAACCACCAGCACAGCCGGTATGGACAGTAGCTGCTCTTTTAGGATTACAGCAAGGGAAGGTTATTTGGCTGCGGAGATAAAACGTCTGAAGGGTTGAATGGTGAAAACGGATACTGACTCACATCCCATACTAACCTGCTTGTCGGGTCAACTGAGGACTGAAAACCTCAAAGCTTTTTAATTTAACATCTTTCATTATAAAACCAGCAAGTAAAAGGGATCTGACCCCTGTCAGGCATTTATATGAAAGATCTCTTCCACTTTCCAAGCACATGGCAACTGAGCCAAAAACAAATGACAGAAAAAAATAAAAGCTCAGAAGAAAGCATGAGAGGGTAACTGAAGAGTAAATAATCCACTTCCTGGGGCCCCAGGGATTAAACAGTGGCATCCTCCCCCACGAACTTGCAAGGCTGGAAAGAACTCACGTGTTCCCATTTGCCATTGATCTCGTGTGGGGTGATCGTAGTGTAAGGATTCGTTCCTGCCATGTTGACATGGTACGTCTGGACAATCTTTGAGACTTCATTGTGGATTCCCAGGATGGCCTGTCGCTCCTTGTCGGCATCTGGCAAAGTGGCTTTGAACTGCTCGTGGGCTGTGGTCAACCCCTGCAGAAGGAAGGCAGCAGCAAAGGCGGGGGGGGGGTAAAAGCATTAGTCACCAAGGAGCCTCTTCAGCAAACATTATCCCTGCAGAAGTGCCTGCAAAAGCTTACACATTCCCAGGATACAAAGCAGACTGCTCTAATACACTTTTCAGGGTCTCTCAGCATCACTAAACAGGCTGTTTTAAGTTGTTAAATGATATGAAGTCTCGTTTCCCTCTTGTTTCTGTCCCATGTTGACCAGTGACAGAGATCACATCCCAGAAAATGGTGGAATAATTCTGGCTCATAATTTAGGGGGAACTATTTCTTCGACATTGCTCAGTTGGCTGCCTGTCAGCCCCTCTGGGAAGATGATCTAGCACTACTTTAAAGCACTCATGTCTCACTAGTGTAAATGCTCCGTGTTTTTCTTCTCCCACTAGGTATGTGCTAGTTCTAGACCCAAGATAACTCCAGGTGAATAACAAGAGTCAGATTCTGCCTGATCAGTCAGTCAGAACACAGCAAAGATCTTCCATCCAACAGCAAACATATGCTCCTGCTGCCGAAAACCTGCTCCTCCTCCCTGAACACAACAGGCCCTTTCTGTTCCCCGTCTTGCTGCGGTGCCCAGAGTGTGCTCCGAGGACCGACGGTGGGGGCACGCTCGCCGGTAGCTTGTGGACAGCTGACAAGCCAGTTGGTCCTGGCTCATCTCCCACTGCTTCTACAGGCCTTTACAGTACTTCATCCCAGAAGCCTGGAAGATCAAGACTAGGGAAACAAACGCAGGGAAAGGCAGAGAGGCATGTACAGGGATAATCGAGGGAACAGTGTGGACAGAAGAGGGAATGAGAGTAAACCACATGATTGACCACTCTCTTACAACACACACTGTAACTACCTTTTGTAAAATTTCTTCCTTACATAGTGACTCATTCCTCTGCAGCTGCTGCGGTGGCCACAGAGATGTAATGCAAGTCTGGGGGCCTGGGAAAGACGCTGCGAACACTCACAAAGGCATGATGGAAGTGTTTAAACGCTGTCCAGATTTGCTCTGCATTATGAAAGACTTCATAAACCCTTTTGTTAAGGAGGAAAGGGTGGAAGAAACAAGCAGCAGCTCAGTAACGGAGCTAACACCAGGCTAGGGCTATTTCATTAGCCCTCCACTCCCCTGTTGGTCTCCCAGACTCTGCCCCAAAATGGCCATGTTGCTGCCAGCCATTTCTTCACAGAGCTGACACAGATTCTTTTCATGAGCCCATCGAGCAGGAAAAATAGAAGTCCCCACTGCACCCAGGGAAGAGTAATTCCTGCTCTCAAAGGTCTGATAATTACCTGTATATACCTCAAGTTGCTTTCCTTCACCCTTTCAGAAGGGAGAAAACAGATACTGTCTCTGTTGTCTTGCAGGAGGCAAGAAGGCTTTCGCTTCAATGGCAATCCACCACCAAAGCGGACAATTCTGATTTTTCTTGTGCTCAGCACCAACACCCATCTGGCAGCTCAACAACGGCCCTCATGGCACACCTCACCGCATCGATCAAATGACCTAGACGTGACATTGCATGGGACAACTGACCTGAAGAACCTGTGAGCAGCACCAGATTTTGCTCGTGTGGGTTAAAAAAACCCCACAAGACCCTAAAAGAGTTCCTCAGTTTTCAGGCTTTCATTAATAAGACTCTGGAGTTACACTGAAAAATCCACTTTCAGTTCTCAGTGTCCAGCTAGGATGGTGTGAGCACGTTTCATACCTATTCAGATCCAGGGTTTTGGAGGAAATCAAAGAAAAACATACTTCCTTTTGTTTCTCTTGCTAAGGCTCACTCAGTAGAGCAGAAGCACCTAACAAGTTGGGCACCACTAGGAATCCAGGAGACCCTCAACTTCTCTCTACCCCAACTGGACTGGTGCAAATGGCAGTTCTGTACCTGGATCTCCTCAATGGTGTGAACAATGAACGTGTCCTGCAGGTCCTCCATGGCCCCTTCCATCCAGTTATTGAAAGGGGCAGCTCGTTTGGCATATTCCAGGTACAACTGGTCAATCGTTTCCAGTAGCTTCTCTGTCCTCTGGGCATGCACAAAAAAGAAAGTCGGGTAAGATGGTTAGAGAAGAATAATCAGATAGCTATGGGGGCTGTCTGAGCTGCTCCTTCCTTTCAGACCTCCTCGGTGCTTCCAGGATGGCACTGCTGCAAAAGCCTCTGTGCTGTTAAGAGATTACACACAGGATGGATTTTCTTCTCTGAGGGAAAAATTTGAGGCCCTTTGAAATAAAACAAAACTAGGACAGCTTTTCAAGCATAACAAAATTACAAAACACAGAGAAGTAGAAATAAACCAATAGCCTGAGTAAAATGAATGGCACCATAATTGGGCTGGAAGGAGAAAAGCAGGCTGGATATACTGAAACGTAGCCCTCGTTTAGAGTCCAGCATGTTCCAGGGGTACAAACTAGCTGAAATTGGCTGCCTGTGCCCACTGCAGCTTGCTTCCCACAAACGACCTACCCACATAATCCCAAAGGTCCAATTTGTACCATGTCTCACCTCCAAGGCTTCTCTACGTTTCTGGGTTAGGGCACCCAGATTATCCCACTGATCACAGATCTTCTGGCACCTGGCATTGACACTGGGAGAGTCGTAATAGTCCAGCTCGCTGTAAGGGAAAAAAGGACAAGAAGTCAAATAGAGACCTTTTGGAGAAGAAAGAAACAGATTAGAAATCTTTATCAGCCTTGAGGACAGATTCTGACAGAAAGCTCATGGTCTCTGGAAGTAAAGCGAGCCAGGAAGACAGCAGTATCTAGTTTTGGAGACACTGTATACTATGTAGCACAGAACAGGAAGAAAAACAACCACCACCCAAGGCCTCAACGAACACTGGTGCTGGCTGCCTGATGGGAATAACTTGGCACCGGGGGGAAGGGAGCACAGGCTTTTGCTCAAGCTGGGAATAAGCAGATGACGAGCAGAGCAAAATGTCACTGTGTCCTGCTGCAGAACATCACCCACAGGCTAACTCCCTGCGCCTTGCACATCAGAATGGGAAGCAAAGGTTTTATTATGAACGCAAGAAACTGCTTAAGATTGGTCTAACAGGTGGCAAGGAATAGCCAAATTACACAATCCATTCATCTATTTAGGACAATCCCAGAATTATGGTGCAGGTTTCTTTCTTACATGCCTGACAGTGCTTTGCTGAGATGTCTATAGGCTGGCACTCATGGAAGACAGGCTGGTTAAAGCATGGCTGGGGAAAAGGAGAGCAAGGGGTAGGCTGAAGTGTGTGGGTCTTACGTTGCTTTGTGCTCTTAGCTCTGCACATGCTCAAGGAGGGAGAAACCTGCAGGCAGAGGGAGACCAACCAAGCTGGGAAGTGTCAGCCTCAAAAGAAGCAGCGGAATAACTCAGTGGGCTACGGTGTGACCCTGGGCCATCTGATGAGCATTCCTCTAAGTAGTAATGCAGATTTAAATAGTTCACTCTTGCCTCCCCCAGCCTTGTTTCTCACCACCGTTGCATTGCCCTCCTGAGATGTGTAGGCACAACTGCTGGTGGAGTCCTGTGGTAAACTAGCCAGGAAACTGATTTGGGCTAAAAATAACCTTTTCCTTGCGGGGTTTTTAATCCAGATCAGTTCCTTGATCTACCTTGCTGCAGAGTAATTCACCTATGCTGGACCGCTACTGCTGGGGAGTGGAATGTGCCATGCCCCCAGACACACCTGGCACCGGCAGCCGCAGCAGCTTCCTCCCGACCCTCTCCATCTCCCTGGCAGTATATCTCTGCTCAGAGACACACAAAGAGCTCAGCCATGGTTTTTCAGGGCAGGGCCACTTTGCTGAGATGGAAGATGGCTTTTGGAAGGATGGCAGAGCCCGCTGTTCTCACCCTTTGGAAGAAATCACCTCTCCCCCAGCTTAGGGCCCAGCATTCCCAGTTGCTCCTAGAGCTGCAGCTGCTTTGGCTGGCATGTAGCGTGTGCTTTGGAAGTGGCAGGTCAGCTAATGCTTGCTGACTAGCCAGGCTCGGGTTTAATCTCACTGACATGGAGGATTGCCTTGAACCCTCCTCCTGTTTCAAGGTCAATCCTCCAGTGGACAAGGGAGCAATTGTGTAAATCTGTGTTGTTAAAGGAGATAACGATCTTGATTCAATAATCCTGATTTTTTAGAGAAAAACAGTCTTTCAGCCCAAGAGCACTGATCTTAGCCCAGACACTAACTTGAGATGGACGGACCAGTATGATAAATATTTTTAAAATAGGAAACAAAGTCGAAGCCAAGTTGTTCAGACTGTTTTTGCCAAGAAACATGCAGGGTTTCAAAATCTCTCTCCCTGTGCTGCAGAGGCCAGGTCTTTACCTGCCTGCTATCCCCCAGCAATCAACATCCTGCCTAGAGGAGACCCTATTTCTCCTGGTAACCTGTGTCACTCCAGGAAAAGGAGCAGAGATGAAGGTTTCCAAGCAGGTGGAAGCAGGGAGGGAGCTGAGCTGCTGTGGGGATGCCCTGGAGCAAGTGCCAACCAAAGTCCGCATAGTGCAGTGCTCCCGGGGCAGCAGCTGATGCCATGATGGGCTCATGCATCAGCACAATTTTTGTCCTGACAGAATAAGGAGGATTTTTTAAAATTAAAGACAGCAAACCGACAGCCTGCTATCCCCTCCTCCTTCCTTCTGTTCCTGGAAAAGTATGACAGTGTTACAGCTCTGAAACCTAGCAGGCACCAGCGGCAGGTCAGATTCTTTAGGAAAGGGTTCACAGCAGCATAACAAACTGGAAGAACATGGAAACTTGGCTCAGGAATATAATTCTGCCGCCCCCTCATCAGCACCCACGACTCATCCGTTTTCTGGCCTGCTCTTCTGGTGCATCCGGATACTGGAGAGCAGTATCCTAGATACCATTTGGAAACACTGGGATTTCCCAACACTTTCTTATGGGGATTGATTTATGGATCTCCAGAGGGCAAAGCTGATTGAGCCTCTCCGGCTCCAAGGACGGGACATGTGCTGGGGTGCCGTACTTCAGCTCTTGTGCAATAGCAGCAATCTGTTCCACGCGGTCCTGGTGTGCGGCCAGGTCGCTCTCAAAGGCCTCATGTTTCTTCAGCAGGGCCTTTATCTCCGAGAGGGTAGCGGTTTCATAATCCTTCTGCTGCAGCATCGCTTCCTTACCTACGGAGGGAGCCAAAGGACAGGAGAATGAAGGGCAGGACTCGGTGCCTCCAAAGCCAACTCCCCCAACACCCAGGCAGCCCCGGAGGCCCTCAAAAGGCCAGACACCCTGCCCGAAGCTTGCCCTCACACGTGCTGGCCTAGAGGTGCACAATCCTCACATGCAAACCACAGAGCGTGAGCTTGGAGAAGGGCACACAGTGCAGCTCAAGCCAGCGCTGTCACAGTTTATACTGGACCCTCTGAACGTGCAAACCGCGCTGTGCCGCTCCTGTAAACGCCAACTGCAGCATTTACTGCACGGTAGCTTTTCCCCTGCTCTGTCGCTCTTTTCTACCCAAAGTTCTCACTTTGCAACGGTTTGGGAATGCCAACGTAGCCGCGTGATGTAGTGGAACAGAGATCAAACTGATTTTCATGCATCATTTTCTAATTAAGAAATGAACCTAGCATTGTTGAGAGGAAAATCTCACGGAGTGACCCATGCATGATCCATCTCTTCCTCCCTCCGTAACAGACAGCACTATGTCAGGCAACAGGAAGCATGTAGGTTGGCATTACCATCTGTCCAGGACTCATGAATGGATGCCTTCTGCCGGAACTTCTCTGCCAGGTGATCCAGTCTCTCTAGCCTTCGGATCTCATTCAACAACCACTCCTCATAGCCCTTCTCAGCCTGCTCTAGGCCACCCCAGGCATTGTTTATATCCTAGAGACAGGAACATGAGAAGAAGCAGGTTAGAAGATGGGGGGGAGGCAGAGACATGTGCATCAGTATTAGTCTCCGTGAGCTACACAGCTCCAGTGGGTTGGAGGGAGTGGATGTGGGCTTTTAACCTCACAGGGTCGTGTCGGGAAGACCAAGTGCCATACTTTTAAACAGGACTAGCAGTCAGGTTATACCCGTCTGCACAAGAGTCCCCCTTGAAACACTTCCCCCTATGAACCTTCAACAAGCCCCAAGCACGTTTCCATCAGGAAAACCGAGAGGCACCCAGACACCTCCTCGGAAAGGCGTGCAACTTCTGAAGTTGCACAGACCACAGAGTCTGGTTTAGACACAGGGAAGCCATGATCACCTGACCCTCTCTTCTTATGGCCTCACCGAGATATATTCTGTAGGGCATTCTCTGCCCACCCCTGGGCATTAAAGGACTCAATTTTTAGGCACAGGTGGGGTATAACCAAGCAGTTAGCCCCACTCACCGAGACCATTTTCCCTTCTGAAGGCATGAAGGCTGGCCTGTTGCTGAGCCGCAGCTTGGTCTGCAAGGTGTTGAAATTGATCTCAAGTTGGCACTTCTCTTGGACCTTGGGGGGCTTGTGCAGGCGGCGGTAGTCCCGAAAGTCCTCCAGTTTCTGCTGCATGGCTTGCATGGTGTTTTCTGGGGCCCGGTTCTCCAGCCAGGGGATGGTGCGACGGATCCACTCCAGCAGCTGGAAAGAGCAATGACAAGAAGCTTTGGACTGAAAATTGGGTTAAAACTACAGGTGTTGCTCTGACCTCATTAGGGACCATTTACTTTTACGTGTGCTGTCAGAAAGATTCTGCTACCAGCAGGGCTTGTGAAGAAACATTTGCCAGCTTTTTTAGAAGTACTTTATCTTTTCTAATGAGCAGCCCATTCCCTACCACTCTAAGTGCTGCTTGTTGCAGCACTGCCAATCCAACGTGCTTAAGGCACAGCTTTCGCACAATCACGACCAAAACAGATTTGGGTCAGATTACTCTAAGACCTTAGAGTTTTGCTGGACTGTTGCATAACTAAAGGATGCTGTAAAGTCATATTACCTCCAGAAGGGTCTGACAGGAGAAATCAAGTTCTTGCCTACAATTACACTTTTCCCACCCCAGCTCCCTTGAAGTCAGTGTTGCTTTTTGAATAGCCCTCCTTAGCAAACCTATCTGGGGAGCTGTGAAAATGCTAACAGAATGGGCAGTCTATAGTGTGAGTGAGTAGTGTCCTACGCTTTTTAGACCAGGCTAAAACCAGGCTCGTGGGCTACGCTTGTCCTTCTGTTCCTCATCTTCCCCTCCCTACTTATCTTCCACAAACACACTATAATCCGCATTTGGTGACTTCTGTAGTTTCACAGCTGTCAGCCTGTCAGTCTTCTCAGTTAACCAGAACAGCCTTCAGCTTGTATCTTACACAGATTTTTTCCAACTGTCAGCAAATACGTATTTCTTTCCTCAATTATCTCTAACTACCATTCTCTCTGAACCAATTCCTGACTTCTGCAGGATATGAGCATACAATTTGTATGAAAGGTGTCATGCAGTTGTATAGTCTTGAGGAATGCAAGTTAAACCAGCTTGATTTTTCCTTTAATTTTAGTATTTCCGCAGTTGCTCTTAATAAACTCAGAAATGCAAAGCTGCCCCATAGAAGCTTTCGGTTTTAAAGTAGACTGCTCTTGCCTTTAAGGTACGTTTGAGCTTTAATTTTTCTCAAGCTAAAAGGAGAAAAAAACCAAAAAGAATTATCCAGGGAAACACGGGCCAATAGCATTCCCCAAGTTTAGTTACCAGCATTAAATGCAACTCCTTTCCAACACCACCACCCGGAAACCACCAGCCCCATGGACACCTACATCACTGGCCAGTTTTTCGTAGTCTTCCATGAGCTGTTCGTTTTCTTGGTTGACTGCCAGCACCTTGCAGATACGATTTGCTGCCGTCTCCGCCTGATGAAGAGAAGAAAAACAGAAGGGAAAAGTGTGAAAAAAAAAAAAAATAAAGCAAAGCTTGCAGCTTAGCTTCCTGCTACATACCTGCCCGTAAAGTGTCCTACCCCTGGCTCCAGCAACCTGTCTGTGCTTCGAAACGTCTGTCCTGACCACTTTGCTTTCCAGCTGATCTATAATAATTTATTTTTCCCTTCTCAGGTGAATACATTCCTTCAGAGATTCTCAGCTCTACTGGCCCCACCTTATGCATTCTGAGACCATCACATTTCTATGCCTTTTCTGAAGTCGCTCCTGTGAGAGGGCTCTGTTGTTTGCTTCCTACCAGAGGGACGCTGGCTGCCTCTTTCCAAAGACTGGGGGGTTCTGCTGCCACCTCCACTCCCCTCAGCAGTACTCAGGGCTGCAACCCCAGTAACTGAGTGGTGTCCAGCTGATGAGACTCTCTACATGGCTTTGACCCCAGGAAAGAACTACCTAAACAGAGTTAATCCATAGACTGGAAAGTTCCTAATTTTGTTTGGAAGATAAAGTGGTAGATAATACTCTTAACCCTAAATTCTGCAAAGCAGAGCTGTCTTCCAGATTTCCCTGTATTTCTGGCACTCATTACAGGGCCACCTCCTCCAGCATCTTGCCACATGACACCTACCATGTATCCAGGATCTCATGATCGAGCCGAGAAGAGGATTTTTTTCCCCTTTCTGGGTAATCTTTCTGCTTACTCTCTCAAAACAAGCTTCACCAAAACAGAGCCTGTTGTTACTATTTAAGGTTTTTTCCCCCACTGTGGGACCAAAACGTTGTTCTCTGCCACTGAATATATTAAAACATGAATTTGGAACAGATTAAGGGTCAGAAAAATCCCAGCTATGAACTCGAGAGCAGTCAGTCTGCTGTGGAGTGCTATGCATGTGCTTGGCATGGGGAACATAGAGCGGCCAATCCTTGCACAGCAGGTATCTGTGGCTATCAGCTCCCTTTATCATTATCACGGTAGGTGCCATGCCACAAAGCCTCAGAGGATGTTCCCTGTGATGGGTGTCAGGGAATTGCTCAGCACTCTCTTACCACAGTACAGCTCTCCCCCTGGGAAAGGTGCTAGAGTTGCCTACAGGAACCCTACGGAGGAGCCCTCCTTACAGAGGCTAAGTGGAGATGAAGAGAAGAGGGTGCATGCCAACACTACAACAGACTCATTGCAAATGCTGTGTCCTGCCTCAAAAGTACGTGTAGGACTGATGACAAGAAGCTTATAGCTGGCATGTTTCAACCTTCATCTATTTTTAAAAGGCCTTTTATTATCTGTTTACTCAATCTCCAAGGCCATTTGAGAAAAATTCTCTAATTTTTGCAGCAGATGTGAGGCAGCAAGAATAGCAGTAAAGTCATAGGCTATCCAGTGATGTACGGATTGCTAAGGTCCCAGGGGATCTGGCAATCCTGTTCATTTGTACGAAGCTGTAAAAACATATACTCAGTCATCTGCCCCCTTCACTAAGTGGGCCAGCTAGCAGATACACAGATATGAGATAATTTAAAATGTATCAGAGGGACCTGTAGAGGACAAAGAGCAATTTCACTTAAAAAGGGTGCAAATGACGGATACATTTAAGAAAGCTTGTACTTGGATCTGTTTTTAACTAAAGTTTGTACCTTAATGGAATGCTTTTTTGATACTCAGAGAAAACTTTATAGACATGGGACCAAAGAGTATGTCAAAAAGACATTGGCAGAGCCCTACCGTAATGTGCCTGGTGACTGCAGGGAACTGGTGGTGCCAAATGTTTATCTCAATCATCCCAGGAGAGGAGCTCCCTGCACACTCCTTTTACACGCCAGGAGCTCAATGCAGCAGCAGCCAGCTGTGCAGGACGGACCCCATTTTGCGGAGGCATATTTACATCTGTCAACGATAGATTTCCTCCAGCTGCCCAAGTTTGCATATGTGTGTGTATATGTGTGTTGAACATCTGTCCAAACACAAAAGCCCGCTGAACGTCAGCAGTGACGACATTATTTGTATTACCCTAAGGGCTGAAGTGTAGAGGTTTTCTCTGCCCTACCAGCACTTGCCCTCTGATGGTTCTTGCCTCCTCCAGACCACTCTGTGCAACAGCGTGCTGCTGCTGCTGCGGCAGCAGGGAAGACTCTGTGGCCACCTCAGGAGCGACACGCTACGCTGACTTGCTCTGTGCAAGGTAGGATCCCCGTGCTTTCAGGTAACCTCCACAAATACTTCCGGCACTGCTGCTAAGGAGCTGATCCCTGGTGATGGCAACCTCAGTGAAACACTTGCAGGTAAAGGAGAGTGGCCCATTAAGATGTTTACATAAGGCCAAGGCAGCTCCCCCTACACTATCATTAGTGGCGTGGAAAAAGCCATTTTGGCTTCCCCACGCTGCTAAAGGCAGTGATGCATGCAGGATGCTCACGCTGGCTCTAAACAAGACAGATGCCCACAAGGCATGGAGCAGCACTGAGATGATGCACCAGTCTGGGATTTGGAAGCTGCATACCTGCATTCTCAGAGAACCTGTGTGAGCTGATCAGCTTCAGTGCAGCATCATGCTGACACATTATACTACTTGCACTCAGACTGTGGGGATGGCAAACCCAGGCCGTTCTGCTCAATACCACGCAGCTTTGCGACACGCACGTGCTGTCTGGTGCGCTCAGATTGGAAATCTGAATAGCCACAGCAGTTGTAATTTCTCTGCCTTTTCTCTTCTCTGTACTTCTGCACCCTGACTTGAACTGCTTAGGATGGAAATGGAGTTAGCTGTCTCTCTAGCTCACGGATCCAGGTCTCTTTGCTGAGGAGGATCATAAAGGAAGGCATCCCCACAGTGCCATGTAGGGAATACGCCTGCCTGCTGGTGTCCTCTGGACCACTCCAGAATACTGAATGCCAAACACAATCTCTTAATGAAACGGTAAAACGTTAGTTAGAAATTTTCACCTCAGAAATCAAGTTTACAAAATATTAAGCCAACCAGTAGTTGCATGCATTTAGTGTGAAAGTCAGAAGCAGTTAGAAAACAAGCAAACCAACCAAAGCAAGTATACCTACAAATATATATATATATATAAAAAAAAAATGGCATAAAGAAAAAGCAGCCATCTAACACACACATGTCAGGCTGGGGACCCTGTACCTTCAAAGGCTCAGTATAAGAGAGTGAAAGAAGCAGAAAGCAGCTCATGGGACCTCCCCTTCAGGACTGGTGGCAGTAATGAAAAATCTGAATGAAAAATGGAGCGATATCACAGTAAGTCACCTAACCGTGCACGAGGCCACAACACATCACAATCTGGGCTGGGGCTTGTACATAGTAATCGCTTTGCATCTGCCCAGGGTTTGAATCTGTGTCACTCAGCAACTGGCTAATGTACGGCTTTGGGAGAAGCTCTCCCCCACCTGTCAGGGCACAGTTTAGTTGCTGGCCCATCAGGACTGCTAAAAAATTAATAAATGATTAAATCTTTAATCTTCCCTGTAAGCTAGTTAGACTACATGGGTTTGAAATTTTAATAACTAAGAAACTCCATCTCTAGTTCTTGCCTCAGCTACCTGGTTCAGGTCCTGAGACAGTAAAAGGTTGTTTTCAGTTATCCCAGGAGACCTAGCATCCACCCAAGCTGCTGCTGAGAGCATGGGACCTGCTGAGCAGGTTTCTAAGTGGTGGGATGGGCATAGAGAGAAGAGGAAGGGATTGGTGAGGGGCAGGGCTGCTCCCGCAGCAGGCTGCAACCCTCCTCGTATTGTGGTTTGCAGTTTCCTCAACAGGGAGTTCTTCAGGTTAAGCAGACAGCATGGAGCAATCCCTCAGGGGCACCTGGGAAACAACAGGTCTCACCATCGGGCTGGCATGAGTTCTGAGACTACAGTCTTCCTGGGCAAGTATCAGCTGGCCAGAGCTTGCAGCTTGGTCTTAAGGGTTTCGAACTGTTCAGAAAGCAGGATCCTGGCAGAAAAGTCACAAGTACACAAATCATGCCAAACGGGCAAGTCTACTGCACTGCTGTGGGACATACTCCCAGTTCCTTGAAAAAAAGACAGTATAATGTAATTTATATGAAACAGGGCAGAGGGCAAAAAGCTTGAACTAAAGAGCTGCTCCCTGCGACCTACTGCCTGCGTTTGCCCTCTAAAAGCCAGCATGAGCATGGTATCTGCACCAACGCTGCGGCCATCAGCACTGCTTTGTAGGAGAGATGGACTCATCCTGGAGTCAAGTTAGCTCGCAAGCTGGGCAACACATGGACTGCGTCTCAAATGGAAATGCCTATTGAGAGAAAGGAGTTGTGTCTGGGAGAAACAGGGAGACTTTACATCTGTTGGTAACATGGAGAATGCAGTCTTGAACTTCAGATTTTATTGTTCCAAAGCCTACAATACGAAATTAGCAGCGGTCTTGCGGAAAGGCTGCAGCCCAGCCAGGCTATGGCATGGGAGGAAAGGACAGACCTTTGTTTTCTATTCAAAGGATTGCAGGGAAATTGCTGTTTTGGAGGAAGTTTGCCCAAAGGCGATCCGTGACTATTTGGTTCCTCTGAGGACAAATGTCCCGATGCCAGGCAAAGAGACTCTAGAGTAAAGAGGAAGCAGAAGGACTGAAGTTATGGAAAAGGGCAAAGCAGAGGAAAGAGAAATAAAACATACAGGTGGTTTGAGAAACAGAGAATGACCAGGGAGAAGCAAGGAATGGAGAAGCATGTGAGTTTGGGAAAACTCAAGGCCTGGTAGGAATGTACGTTGTGGCTGGAGCACACAAGTGCCATGTAACCAGCTCACAGATGATTCAGCCTAGGAAAAGCTCACTGACCTAGCGGGGGCTGTGCAGAAGGCAGGATGGCAACTCAGGGAGGACAGGATTTTCTGGGGTAGGCTGGCTTGATTGTGGTAATTCTGGAGGCGCACCGCCTGGCCAGTCACTGAGAGGGAACCGACTCTGTCAGAGCAGACGTTCATCCATCTTTCAATGCCAGCTTTACCAAATGCTTTCTCCACCGCTGGGGTGTGAAACTGGAGGGAAGGGGCAGCTGAAGTCTGTCTGAAAGGATGCATACACCACTTCTCCAGCAAGACTACAGATGGCACATCCAAGCACATCGCTGGATGCGTTGGGCTTCCCTGCAAATGCCCTGGGACGGATGTGGGGGTCTGGTGCGTTCCTCGGTGGAGAGGAGCGGTGGGCAGGGCAGGGAGAGGGGATGGGGGTGTTAGCAGTAAAGTCTCACCTTCTGCGCCCCCGAGAAGGCGTGGTAGTAACATGAGACATAGGTCATTATGGCCTTCTCATCCGGCCTTAGCGTGCCTATAATATCTGTGCAGAGAAGGAAAAGAGGTTGAAAGGATAAAGTAAGAAGCAGCACATAGAATAAAACAAAACAGTCATGGGTGGCGTGAGAGAGGGGGAGAAAACTTCCCATCATGCATTGCAGGACAGGCCAAACAGATTTCCATGCGGAGAGCTGGGAATTCGGATCAGAAGGTGGCTAGCAGCGTTGGCTTGTGGCTCAAAGCGGCACCCCTCCCTCCCTCCCACGCCCCCAATCCAGGGGGATCCCGGGCTGAGGATCCGGGCTCTGCACCTTCCCAACTGCGGCCCAGGGCCCAGGCCCAAGGATGCAAATAGGCCGTTTGGAGGTCTGAACGCCCACGCTCAAGGCCTTTCTGTACGCCGAGGAGCTAGAGATCAGAGCCTTCCTACGCAGTGCACTTCCTACACAGTATCTGCTGTGCTGTAACACGCACTGCCTGTTCCTACGGCGGTACTGAAGTACAGGAGGCTGCTTGGTTTTGGCGAGAGATGTTTACAAGGTTTCACCCACAAAACTTTTCCTTTAGTGACTACGTTACCAACAGGAAAACGGCTAAGCCAGACACAGGAAGGACTCAACTGCCCAATTTAAAGCACGGTGGGTAAGAAAAGAGATAAAAAAGAAACAAGTGAGCAAAACCAGGCACCTCTGTCATGATAAGCAACGCTCTGTTTGCAAAATCACCACAGATACACTCGTTACGACGTGCTTTGTAAGCCCCAGGTGAACTGGGACTGCAATTCGCGGCCCAACTTGAGAAAGCAGCAGGTTCAGACCTTGAAGCGAGGGTGCGGGAACCTGCAGCACACGTAATTCCCTGCAGCATACGTAAGGTAAAAGACAAAGCTTTAGGCATTCGTCGAACCCTTCATAAAACCACTAAGTCAGCTCTGTTTCTCCACCTTTGAGCAAGAAAACCAAAAGGGAATTGGTATCAGCATTGTTTCAGTGGGGGCAGGCTGCAGCGCCCTGCTGAGCAGAGCGCCTACAGGGTGGTCTCCAGCTTTGTGAAACCAAGCATCCGAGCTCACATTTCTCAGGAACAGGGGGTGCAGGTCCTTGGCCATCAGGGCAGCAGTTTGGAAGGCAAATGGAGAAGGCAGAGCTCCCCACTCCCTCGGATTTGTGTGCATGCCAAGGTGGTGGCATACGTAAGTGCCACTGGAAGTACCGCTGTCTAAAGGGAATGGGGTTTCTGGCTCCCCTGCCCCACCTATTATGCCTGGGGCACCACTTTGAACCAACAGCCAACTCTACTAAGAACATAATAATAAAGATGCCCGTAGCTAGAGAGGAAAGAGAGAAAGAAAAAAAGGTTTGGACATTAGCAACGGCACCACGTGTGCTCTGTGGAGGGAGCTTGGGATCCTGCGATACCTTCTGGGCTCCTGAGAAGGCGTGGTAGAAGCTAGAAACATAGGTCATGATGGCTTTCTCGTCAGGACGGGCAGTTCCAACAATGTCTGTCAAAAAAAACCTCACGTTAAGAGCATAATCAACCGATGGGAGGAAAGCAAAGGAGAGGGAGAACCACAACTGTCCAGGAGGCCTGCTGGGGTATATCCTTGTCATAGCAACTCCACAAGGCTTCCCAGTTCCCCAGAAGACGCGTGTCTCTCAGCAGCCAGGATCACCCTCCTGGTTTCCCTCCCTCATGATAAAATTGCTTCCAGGGTCTGCCCAGGCTAATGCAGCCATATGTCACCATGTCTCATGTCACAGCACCTCGCTGTCCCGAGAACATTACTGTGAATGGCAGGTTGAATCAATCCAAACTGGCAAGCAGGTTGACATGGCTTTTATAGGCGTGTTATACTGCAATTCCTCTGTGCAGTACTTCAGGAAAGATCCTTGCTCCCTTCCTTTCCATGCCCCCGTCCTTCATTTCAACACAATGATGGCTTGAATTTCAAAAGGCCCTTTCATTGGTTTCAGGGGAAACTCAACACCTCCAGAGATCAGAATTAATGGTGTGGAGGAATGCACATTAGCTCCACTCCGTGAGGGAGAAGAGTGATCAGGAAAGAGGAACCTTTCCTCTGCAGGGCCCTGCAAGGGGCCCTCTTCATCACCGCTAGCTTTGCTGAGATCTGAAGCTGGATCTGCTTATTTTGGAGGCAGATTTATTTCCTACAGAATAGCAGGAAGCACTTGAATCTACTTCAGAAAACTCATGATCTTTTTGTGTGTGAGCTCGGCATGATGAATGCAGAGAAGGCAAGACTCCTCCCTGGGGATGGGAAATACTATTTAAGAATATAAAGATCCTAGTTACCCAAACATAGGTTCACTGGGTTCAGCTGTCCTATCCCCAACCTTTCTCCCTTATTCCTCTCACTCCCTTATTTAACAAAAGCCTTTAACTGCTTCTCCTGTCCAAACCAGGCCTGAAACACAGCTTCTACCACTGAAACCAGCTGGCTTCAGGCAAACAGCCAACAACCAGTGAACTATTTCAGGCTGTTGTTTGTACTCCAGAGTTACAGTCTTCAAAGTCTTTTGCCAAGCTGGTCCTGACAAAGCTCTGAAAAGTAATCCTTGCTGTCCCAGTGGCGTCAGGGAAGCAGTCACAATCAGTAGCAAAAGAACCTCTGAACAGCATGGATCTCTGCCTTGGTCTCCAGACCCAGACAGTGAGGGATCTTCATGCTCAACAATTCTGAGCAGCAGTTTATAATACTAATATCATGTCCCCAAAAGGAAGATCACCAGCAACGTCAGAAAGAGTCCAGAAAAAAACTTCTGGAGCAAAGGGAACGCAGTCCTACACCATCCATTAACTAAGTATTAAGCCTGATTCTTGAAAGGGAACACTTCAGTCAGCAGTGGACATACCCAGGAATTACTCATGTCTGCCCAGTGTTTCAACCTAAGGTCAAGATTTCCACACCAGACTCAGAAGACTGAGGGGCACAGGAGGAAGAAGGAAGCAGAACATATGACTCATTATTCCATTGTAACTTCTTCCCTATACATTTAGTATGTGATGATGGAGGGAGCATTCAGGTTACTGAATTCTTGAACAATGTAAGTCCACCTAGAAAAAGTGGGAAATTTCTCAAGAAATAGTAAGTTAAAAGCCACTGGGTTCTACTTTACCTTCTGCATCCAGCATCTTGGGAATATCCAGATATTTCTCAGCCACATCAAAAGCTGTGTTTAGATTAGTGAGAGGATCATCCTGGGAAAGAAACAGAGCCGGAGCATCAGCATCAACTTGTAACAAGGTACACACAGTATTTCTCTCAAAACGCAGCCATTGTTCTTGGTTTGGTTCAGGTAACCGTGCTGTCCAGACAAAATTATGTGCAAATCCTCATGTAGCAGGATGAAATAATTAGCTTCCTTTTGAAAACAGAGCCTGGAGACTCATGATACGATAATTAACATATAATCTATGCATGTGCAACAAGAAAGAAAAATGCATTTTGTCTTGAACCTAGTTTAAAGTAAAATTAGCTTCACATCATACTGATAGTAAACAGCCATATCTCACATTTATATCTCATGCTTATATTAGGATTGCAACTTCCATTTTAAAGAACTGCAGAGCAGTGTATCTGTTGGAACATCTAAGCAATACTAAAATAGTAACAACATCTGCAACGAGTGCTGTCCTTAGCTAGTGTACAGTTTGTTGAACATCAGTTGAGTGGGAGGAAGAGAAATGTTTTAACAAATTTCTACAAAATAAATACATATAAAAGTACCCATTTTGTCTGAGTATTGCTTTTACTCCTAGGCACTGCACAGGACTTGTCATTTCCTTAGTACATTTCTATTCCTCTCTATATAAACCTTCTGCTGTGGCAGGAAGCACTGCAGATACAGACATCAATACACAGTAATCAAATCCTAAACAAAGTTAAATGTGACTTATCACATCATGACTCATATCACAAAGGTAACTAGATTTTAAAGAGCCACGCAAGAGAATATGAAATACAGACATCACTGGAAATGAAAGACCTCTGCAAAACGCTTCCAGCATTCAAACATGATGATCAGCAACAAGACACCTACCAACCTGTATGAGACCCTCACACAAGCCTGATTCCTATATTCCTGTATATCCATGATACTTAGTTATTCTGAAGGATCAATCCACTTCATGGATGACAAATGACATTTGCACTATTGGTTTCTACTGTTGAGACAGGTGGCTTCTGCTGGAGGAAAGGTTGGGCATAAACCGCAAGTGTTTAGTCACCTTGTTTGCTAAGTGTCTTTCGAGAGAGGAAGGGTGGGGTGGTACTCTCCCCACTATCATTTGTGCCAATCACACTGAGACCCGCCTTAAAAATTACAAAAGAAGGATTATAATTATTTCACCCTCTTTCTAGAGTGGCAACCACATTCTGCTTCTTTTCTGTCTGAGATTGTGTGACTTTGCTTATTGCGCTGACTCAGCAGGTGAAGCTCTGCCTGGACCCCAACCTACAGGCACTTTCCTTTCGTGTTGGGTTTGGGTGTTAGGACTTGGGGAGTGAGTGAGAGGGCTGCAGGGGTGGCTCCTGTGAGAAGCCCAAGCCGGAGCAGGCTGCTCCTGAAAGACGTCACCCCGTGGGAGGGACCCACGTCGGAGCAGTTCATGAACTGCAGTCCCGGGGAAGGACACACATTGGAGAAGCTGGCAGAGGACTGTCTCCCATGGGAGGGATTCCACACTGGAGCAGGGCAGAGTGTGAGGATCCCTCCCCCATGAGGAGGAAGGAGAATTAGAGACAACATGTCTCATGGGGTCAGTAGAGACTGACCACAACCCTCATTCCCTGTCCCCCTGTACCGCTTGGGGGGAGGAGGTAGAGAAATGGGGAGCAAAGCTGACCCCAGAAAGAAGGGAGGGGTGGGGAGAAGGTGTTTATTTTAAGATCTGTTTTTGTCTCTCATTATCCTACTCTGATTTGATTGGTGACAGATTAAACTGATTTTTCCCCCCAAGTCGAGTCTGTTGTGCCCAGGATAGGAACTGCTGAGTGATCCTTTCCTCTCCTTGTCTCAACCCACAAGCCTTTCCTGTTATCTTTTCTTCCCCATCATACTGGGAGGAGTGAGCGAGCGGCTGTGGGGTGCTTAGTTGCCAGCTGGGCCTAGACCACGACACCTCTGAACCCATGCTGAATGAAAGATGCAGCTAGGCACGCTTGGGCAGACAGGATATGGGCATGCAGATAAGTTCCTTTATGGTTCTGTTCATTATGTTGTCCTGGATTACAGCTTTTATGGAGCTAGGAAACTGAATTATTCTGAAAAGCAATTTCCTGCAGCACTTCCCTAGGAATTAATGCATGTATTAGGTTGGCATCCCTTATCAGCATCATATTCCTTTGGGTTAATGTCTCCAGTAGGCAGCAATGTTTCATCTGCTGAAGTAAAGCACACACAGGGGCCATCAAAACAGACACAACCAGTGATCCATATTTAGTCCAGTGGGACAAGTCAATATTAAGCAAGGAAGTGTCACATGAGCACGCTGTGATGAAACCAGCAGCCATTACATGGTAACAGGCCCCCATCTCAGTGTCAAACAGTACCTTATCCCTATACAATACACTTTCAATGGTGTCTACATCACATAGTTTATATCCACCTCTTAAGAGTTCAGCAGCAGTGCAGGCAGGGGATTTTTACTATCCTCCAGCCACAAAGAACCGCCCTATGCCATGGAATTAGTGGCTGGTACCATTTCAACTTCAGCCTACTTGTCTCCTGGGCCTGCTGTGGAGAAAACTCTATGAACTCAAAGTGTAACCAAAAAACCTTATTTGAGGAGGTGAGACTAGCTGGTATATAATATACCTTGTTCACTATGTGAAGACAGGGCCTTAGCTCCATTTAGGAAGGAAAAGTAACAGCTTTTCCTTCACTCAAGTGCAGGAGCATCCAGAAATGCCAAGTGTCAGCACACTCCCAGTTCCCCCTATCCCACGTGCTACTTCTGCAGAAATGCCACCACTGTGTACCAAATTTCACCCTATGCTGACCATGAACCCCACAGCATCGGTAATGCCCTGACAGAGCGTTCAGTACTAACACTGACCAGCTTTAAATGAGCTGCCTGGAGATCCGACAGCCTCTCCTGGAGGAAAGGGAGGAGCAATCTCACTGCAGATAGCTTTCCTATCAGTTTGCAAGTAAAAACACCAGGAGCAATGTTGCCAAAGGTTAAAAAGAAATTTAAGCTGGAAGTTGGGAGAGGTTTCCTGATGGGAAAACTTACTGGGCTTGGGCACTCCCAAAGGAAGGGCTGGAAGTTGTAACATGCGGGAAACGGGAGACTCATCTAGATGAAGCCTTCTACTTCATATGTAAGAAAGACGTGTGATCACATAGTCTTTTGGGGAATGAAGCTAAAGATAGTGCTACTGAAAGTCAGCTACCTAAGTCCAAGACTAGCTCCAAGAAGAGCACAGAGCTAGACCCAAGCAAGATCCTGCTCCCCATGGGAGAAGCTTCACCCCTCATGGACCTTGGAACTGCTCCTCACAAAGGTGATGCTCCTGTGCAAGAGAAGGGGGCTTGTCCAAGACTACAACAGGGTCTCAAGCTCTAAGAAATTCCTCCAAATTCCACCGCTTTCAGTTCCACCCCATCATACACCAGCTAATCGTTATTTCAAACCACCTGTTTCAGCAGATTCCTATGAAAAGGGATAAAGTACTAGAGACTGGCCTGGCAGCTCTACGCCTCTCAGTGCAGCAGTGTGACACCATGGCTGCAGGCATGCTTTAGGGACCCAAAAGCAGCAGAGCAAACAAAAACCAAGTCACCTGTCCCCTGATTCCTTCTGCAGCTGAAACACACACTCCAGGGATCACTGACCCAGAGGAGGTTCTGCAGAGGTACCTCAGTTCCCACTCTGCTCACGTGAACAGCAGAGGTGGCAGAGACACAGAGGAGCAGTAACTTGCCAGGCTCTAGCTGGGCCAACCACAAGGGCAGCTGTAGTTTTACCAGGGAGGAATGACGTTGTTTTAAGTGTGTCAAACAGCAAAACTGCGTGTTCTCTGCTTCTGCTGACTAAAGACTACCGCAGCTCCTCCTCTTTCACCACAACCCTAACTCACCAGGGGAGTCTTCTCTCCTCCAGCTATTTCCAAGTCCTTGCAGCACACAAGGTTGCCATGGCAATTATTGCAGTGTGACATTAAAAAAAATCTTCTATTAACTAGCAATCAGGAACAGAGATGGAAGAGGAAGAAAATTGAGAGAGCAAGCACTTACTATATCTGCCCGAGCTGAAGGCACTAGGAGAGAAACCCAATTGGTACAGCTCATGTTTTCAGGAATATCTGTAACAAATGCATCCAACATGACTGTACACAGACCACATTTCTATATGGATTGTGGAATACGAGGGGGTCTCTGAGCCATCAGTCGACCACTGTACTTGATAAAAAGATGTGGCTCTCAGTTGAGCTGCAGTCAGGGGTAAAAGGAAGAAGGGAAACCCCATCTTCTGCATATCCCTCACATGCAGACCATGAGACGAATCTCAAGATCTTACCTATAGTGAGCTGAATGACAGCAGACAGACCTGCACTGAACAGAAACCCTCTAACCAAAAAGGTAGCTGTGCAGTCTGGTAATCATCGACACCAAGCTGGCTGGACCTGCACCTTTTATTCTGGGATCTGGACTAGAGAAGCAACTTCAGCTGGGAAGCGCATGTAGGTAATAAAGAATTGTGCTTGCTCCGCTAATAAAGCTGACTAAGAAAAATAGCTAGGAACATAAACTCAGTACAAAACTGTGCTGACAAAAGAAGTTGCTGACTTCTGGGGAGAAGACATGCAGCTACACTGGCTACCTTTTGCTGGCATACACTGCCAATACAGGGTCTGTATCATAGACAGAGTCTCTCTGTGAAGGAGCAGAAAACACTAAAACTGAACAAGAGTGCTGCCCAAACAGGAGGTACAAGGCAGACCTGTTGGCAGCTTGGACAGATGTTAACCTCTCTATCTTACACATTTGTCTCTGTGTGTGTACACAGAAGTACACACAGCATCACTGAAGTTGCATACAACTGAGACGCCATTAAACACTCCCTAGACTTGGAAGAGACATGGAGGTGGACCCCTAATCTATTATCCACTGTGATGGCTGCTTCTCAGTGTACTGGGTTTGCATGGCAAGGTTTTGGTAGCAAGGAGGGCACAGGGCTGGTTTCTGTGAGAAGCTGCTGGAAGCTTCCCCCGTGTCTGACAGAGCCAATGCCAACCGGCTCCAAGACGGACCCACTGCTGGCCAAGGACGAGCCCATCAGTGACGGGGGTAGCACCTCTGGGATAACGTGTTTAAGAAAAACACTACAGACACCCAGGTCAGTGGAGAAGGAGGGGCAGGAGGTGCCCCAGGCACCGAAGCAGAGGGTCCCCTGCAGCCCGTGGTGTGAGGGCAGGCTGTACCACTGCAACCATGGAGGGTCATGGGCAGCAGAGACCACCCTGCAGCCCAGACCCCACGCTGGAGCAGGGGGATGCCCAAAAGAGGCTGTGACCCTGTGGGCAGCCCACACTGGAGCAGGCTGCTGGCAGGACCTGTGGCCCCATGGGTAGAGGAGCCCAGGCTGGAGCAGGTTTGCTGCAGGTGGGACCCACACTGGAGTAGGCTGATCGTGTAGGACCTCACCCCATGGGAGGCACCCACGCTGGAGCAGTGCGTGAAGAACTGTAGTTCAAACTTGGTTTGTTTGTAAGTTTGATTTTGACAGAAGGGGGAGAGGGGAAGTAAGCTCCACAGAGAAGGGTAAGAACCAGCTGAATTGAGCCAAAGGGATGAGAAAGAAGCAATAAAGGAGGAAACAATAGGCTGATCGTGTAGGACCTCACCCCATGGGAGGCACCCACGCTGGAGCAGTGCGTGAAGAACTGTAGTTCAAACTTGGTTTGTTTGTAAGTTTGATTTTGACAGAAGGGGGAGAGGGGAAGTAAGCTCCACAGAGAAGGGTAAGAACCAGCTGAATTGAGCCAAAGGGATGAGAAAGAAGCAATAAAGGAGGAAACAAGTGACAGAAATAGTCCAGACAAATACTGTGTTTAGGAAGATGCCATGTTTGCACATTCTACAAATGGGTTTCAAAGATCTAGCATAAAAAAGGCAACTTCTCTTCAGCACATGTCAACTGCCTGAGTGAAAGGCTACGCTTGGAGCTAAGTTCTTCCCGGCTATTTGCTCAAGGCTTCAGCTGTGGTAGAGTTCTCAAGCATGCATTTAATCTCATGCCTTTAGAGTAACTGAGGCAGAACAACAATAAAAACGATGCAGAAAAGTCAGAAGACTGCAGGAGGGCAGAGGGAACCTGATGAAAAATGTGATCAAGGACAAATGGAGAACAAAAGATGCTGCTTGCCTTTCACCTTACTCCAAGGAGGACAATTCCCTTCCCATCTACTTGATTTTGGCTAAGACAATCACCCTCTCTTGCACCTTAAAAAGCCTGCAGGCAATATGACCAAGTAACTTACTTTCCCTCACCATTGTTTCACTTGGGTTTGGCTTAGGGCTTTGCAGCATTTACCCAGCTGGGTTTGTCATACACATGTTGCTTAGCTGCTTTTATTTTCCCAAGATCAGGCAATGAAAGTGTAGCTCTAATAATTAATTTTTTTTATTGCTGCTGTTTATGTAAACAGGTACAGTTTCTCCCCACTGTTTATTCATCATGTGCTGACTCCAGACACTAAAACTGATCAGATAATATAATTGACTGCTCTGCAAGACAGCAAAGATCTAAAAGGTTATTGAAAAGCAGATCAGGCATCATACAATTCATTGCCTCGAGGATGCCGCTAATTTGATTATCTCATTTACAGGTTGTCTATTTGCACAGTGATCCAAGAGCCCAGGTCTGTTAGTGATGAGCTTCTATGTTTATTTCCCTAGCTAACATCAAGCATGTACACACTTTATAACACCCAACCTGTGAGATCAGGTGGTCAATCTTCTTATGTATTAGCCCCAGTAACAGCACATGAACTATGCTCTCGGTGACATTTATGGGCATAGTGAAACCGGATCTCAGCAGACTGCAGGAA